TTTGGTTCAAGAAGCCTGGATGAGACAAGCACTTTGGAATAAAGTCCACAGCGTACAGGCAAGCTCAGTGAAAACCCAGAGCTCGTGCTACCAGAGCTCTGTACGGACAGGTGAAGTGCACAGTGCCTTCCAAAGCGAAAGGTTCCCCACCTGGCCAACTGCAATGTGAGCAGGCACCAGCAACGATTTTGGATAAGAGCTCTCACTGCTGGACACACAGCTGAGATGACTGGAGGCAGCCCTTCCTTGCAAGATGCTCAAGCCACCTATGGTGTCCTTACCTTAACAGCTAGGCAAAAGAGTGAAGTAATACTTTTCTTTCATTTGTGAAATCTGGACTTGAATTCCCCCCCCCCAAAAAAAAAATTATTCAAATTTAGACTCGCACTTCGGTAAATCCTTAAAATAATCCATTTATTATTCACCAACCTCCAAGACAAATGCTGATTTTCACCAGAATAAAGAGCAGCCAAAAGCTCAGCCAGACCTATCCATCACCAGGCTGGAGCCTCCCAGCACAAGGATGCCAGAAGAAGGTGACAACTCATCAGGACACCATGGAGCTTGCACCTTCCTTCTTATTAAACCTGAGTCAGACCCTAGGATTTACCTTCCTTCATGTGCTACCCCTTCGTAGTGAACGGGGAAAAATAAAATCCATTCAGCAGGGAAAGTACTTCTTTACTAATTGGAAAAAAATACTATTTTCCCTCTTTTCCGTCTTTCTCATTCATGTTCTCCCCCTTTTGCTTTAAAAAATGAAATTCCAAGCATACATGAAATTAACAGCATATTGCTGAATTCCTAAGGACCGCATTTGCTATGGAGGTTGAACAACCCAAGTCTCCAAGAGCAACTGCTGATTTACATCAGCTAGATAGGTCAGCATTTATTTTTATTTTTTTTTTCCAAGTTGATGGGTTTGCTTTTTAAATACAAAAAAATGGGACTTGAGCTGAAGTAGAGCTACCATATCCAAGAAGTTTTTTGGTTTGTTAGAAAGGCTGAACTACTTCCTCAGAAAAACTCTGGATTGGAATTGACTGGTGTGTGAGACCAGCAGTTAGCAAGAAAAAAAGAGCAGACTCCCAGCTATTTTTCCCCCACAGCCAAACCCGCTGGGCAAACACAACTGTATTCACTATTTACCTTGGGGCAGGACCCAGAGTCCTTAAGCAGGTTAAGGACTCTATTGTGTTAATCTTTACATCAGGCCGGTGTAACACGCATCATATTTAAACAAAATCATGTCAATCCCTCTTTAGCAAGGGGCTGCAGCGGAGGGATGGGACGCCAGCCTCCTCCACCCTACGCGCACGTTGCGGTACAATCTGCTGCCTTCCATAAACGCTGCCATTTGTCTTCTCTTTAGATGCATTGCAGGAATATTTCCATATAAGCCCTATTAGAATAAAAATGACAGTGTGACAAACAGCTTCGCAAATAGGTCTGCTGCTCAAACAAAGCACAGATGCAACACGCTGATTTTCAGAAATATGCTGTGTAATTCACAAGTGCTACTAGTTGATCTGAAACCCAGTAAATTTAGGCAGTCGCTTTATATCTTCCCCATCACAATACCTACTTCCTTAAATACACAGCTGAAGTAGAGCATGTGCTCTCCTCCCGCAACAGTTCCCCCAATCCCCTCCTTCTCCTCCCCTCCAATTTAGGCTGATTACAGGTTTCAAAAATCTTAGAGATTCATTTTTAAGTTCCATTTAAAATGCTGATTTTTACTTGTTTCCTTTTCATCTAGATCAATACTGCACAGATGATAAATATGTACCGTTTACCATTTATACTATTTCATCCTACCATTGAATATCCTAGAGTAAGCTTCGGAAAAAAAATATCAGTTCCTGGATAGCACTTTACTTCCCTCCATCGCCTATTCCCTATTTACATTTTATCTATAATCGTAAGTCTGAGTGGGCTCTATTAATGCAGACACCCATTATAACATACAGATATTAAGCGTAGCAGAAAGGAGCTGCCTCTCGAAACATTCACTGCTCATTTTAAAGTTTGTCTAAATTTATGATGATGCTCCAGCGTATGCATTATTCTTTGCAAAACAGTGCCTCAGCGTTAAGATGTCACCACATTAGTTTTCTATTCAGTCTTCACCGAGAGGAGAAGCCACCATTTTCTTCTCGACACATGCAAATTAAATTCTGTTTGTCTCTACAGAAAGTATAAGCCTCAGAGAATTCTGCACGTCGGTGGCGAAACTGTCACCTAGCATTAAAAACAAGTATTAATTTGTAAATGAAATTCCTCAATCCTGTTTAAAGGAAGCAATTAAGCATTTAATGGGCTAACAAGCCAGGACAAATATTAGTTTTATTATTTCCAAGGTACCTCACAGCCATATAGAATTCCCTTCACACCGATGATCTTCTCTGTCAGAACAGAGAGACCCTCGCACAACACAATTTTTCAGTAGATGCAGGCTTACTCGAGTCTTGTAGGAGCTGTACATTTTATTCCACCGCAAATTTAGCAAAACAAATAGCTGCTCACGCATCTGGGATTATTCGACTTGATGCACCTTGCACGCATCCCGCTTACGAAATGCAACGCGTTCTGCAATAATCACGCAGCATGTTCAGCTTTCGGAAAAGCTCAAACATTTTTCCTAGCAAGAAGGCTTAATAACGCTTTATCTCATTAAGCTAAGGTTTTTAAACAATGCCCGCATTTAACTGAGATAAAGCGCTAGGTTTTCTGTGATTATCTAGCAATTCCAACTATTCGGTGTTACAGGAGTCTTAGAGCGCAGCTTAGGAATTTATTTTCCAGCAGCCCTGTGAAACTCGTGAAGTTAATTCATTGCACTCCCAAGAAAAGAAGCCTTAAAGAGAATGAGACAAGCCAGTTCGGGAGCTGTAGGCAGGCTGTTTTGCTCAAGGCTTTAATAATAATTTCATAAATACTCTCCCGAACTCCAGAATAGCCATGCTGCGACACGAGCCACAGCGGAACGAGCCCTGGCTCTCTGGTAATGCACAAAAATCCCGACATATTGCAGGGCAGCTGAAAGACACGTTCATTAACTTTGTTGTCGTGTCTTTAAAAAGGTCAGGCGGGATGCTGATTGCCAGACAACCACTTTGGTTCAGGCATTTTTATTAGACAAAAGGCTTACAGTTAGCACTGCATTGTGCCCCACCCATCTGACTCAGGATTGTCATGTTTTCACTCCATTAGGCTGTAGGGCTGTACTACAGTCTTCTAAGTAAGCACCCCCCAACACACCCGTGCATCTTAAACACGCACTTCTTTTCCTCCTCTCCTTCCCTCCCAGATAATATTTTGGCAGGTCAGACGCGAGAAGGAAAGCCCCATGAATGAAACAATGAAGAAAGAGAGCAGCGCTGACCTTTTCCTGTAATAACACCTCCCATCCCTCCCTCCCTCGCTGATTTCCAAAGTAGGAAACCGGTTCTTTACAAATGAAGAATTACCAGAAGAAACAAAAATAACCCTCCTCCAGAGCACCCACTCCCCCACACCAAAAAACAGGCAGGGGAGCCTGTATTAATCATTTTTTCCTGACAATATTTTTAGCGAGGATTTTTCCTCCCTACCTTTTGAACAAGGCAGCCTGCATCGCCCTCGCTCTATCTGCATATGACATACTGCACAAAATGGTTAAAATAAGATGAAGCAAATGTTATTGTTTCCTCTCCCTGCACCATGCATATATATTGGCACTGCTACACACACACACAGTATGTGAAAAGAATGTTAAAAACTTTATGAAATTCCAGTGCTGAAACTTTCGATAAACACATGGATTTAACCGTCTAATTCATACGAAGTGCAAGTTTCTCATGAAAGAGCATCACATTTACTTCATCGCCATTTATATGAATGACTTTAGGCAGGTTTGCCTCAACGTTAAATACCAAATACAGGCTATCAGAGAATACCGAAGACACCGTGAAAGTACAGACAACATTTTCTGTTTTCAAAGCAATTTTAAGTAATACCACATTCTCTTTGGACTCACTCGCTGCGTACGCTCAGTTTAATTAAAACCAAAACTTGTAGCCCTTATTTGCCTTCTGAAAGGCGAGCCTGACTGAGAATAGCCAACAACAATATAATGCTAACAGGAGTCAAAATGGAGCATCATTTAGCCGAGGTACTGAAGGGAAAATAATCAGGTAGGGCACGTTTTGCGCAGAAAGGCCCGATCGCCCCCGCCTTCCATTTCTAAAACTGCTCATCTCATGAGCATCCATTATTTTTCCCCTCCGCGGCATCTTTTGAAGTGTATTTTGCGTCTCCAGACAGCCATCACGCATCTATGCGGTACCAGGAGTTTTCAGAAACACGGGCGTCTTTTGAAGGTAAAAACGCAGGCAGGGTAAGAAGAATAGTTACTCGTTACACTAATATTTCACAGCATGTATTTGACAGAATCCTATTAACCCACAATTACTTAACCTGTGGTGAAACGTGGCCAACTCTTCCCTCGGAACAGGCATTTAATAGGCAGATGTTTCATGCTGATAAGGCAGTTTGCATTCTTATTCCATTAAAAAACACAATTTTCACGTGAAACAAGTTATATACGTTACCATACCTCAGCTTTGCTCTGCGGTTTTCATCTAGTCATTGAGTGTTGAGTGGCATTAAAGCAATCCTTGGGGTACCTACCTGCCGACATCTCAATGGCTCAAGAAAGGCCATAGCATTGCCGCAAACTAATGGAAAGATCTCATGCTTTCACATGAAAAGGTGAAATGGGTGCTGGCGATGTGAGCACTGGAAATACAGGCAAGTTCTTGGCAAGTTACTCTTTTTTTTCGGCACGAAAAGCGGAGTCTTTCAGCCATTACCCACAATGCCTCCCAACCAAAAAACATCTGCAATATGCTGCCATCCCCGTTTGTCGCAATCAACCCGCCTATTTAAAGAGGGGGGAAGAAAAAAAAAGTAATCATCTGCCGAAATCCGCACAGACACACAACACGCCTGGTACTTACGCGTCGCACCGAGCCGCGTGCGGGAGGGCAGCCCTGGCGGCGCCAGCCATGGTGGAGACCTGCAAGACCCAGGGATTTGGGAAGATGTTATTCACCTGCCTGGCGGGTTGGAGCCGTAAAACACCCCACCCTTCCCCGGACCTACCACCTAGGATTTCGCCCGTGATGCTCTCGTTTTAAACGCGGTATGCAAGGTGCAGAGAGACGCGTCCCAGGTATTTCAATGTTAGGGCTACACCATCAAGAGGAAAGAGTGCTTAAGAAACACGTAAAAAGCATGGTTATGCATAACCATTTCCTCCCTGTCAAAGCTCAGTGAGGGGAAAAAAGGCTTTAAGCCACGTATTTCACACCTTCAGAAGGTGCTTGGTTAGGGCAAATGGTGGACCTCGCACCGCAACATTTGAAATCAAGGTCTCCTCAAACACTCTTTTTCCCTTTCTCCTCCAAGTTAATGGTCCCTCTCAGCCAATTTTGTGTAATTTATCTAGTTCATTAGAGAGCAGAACCACCCGTCCTGCTGCACCAAGTGCTTGAACATCTATGCTGGGCAGGCAGCTGTTGCTGCAATGCCACAGGAGGAGAGGAAGGGGCTTGTTGAAGAGAAACACCACCAACTCCCATCCTTTTTGGCTTCCTTCACCAACACGGCTGTCTTACAACCTCCCTGGTGCAAGCGGTGTGGCAAAACCACATTTGGGTGGTGTTCAGGTTCTGTGACCGCTCCGACCTACAGCCAGAGCCCGGATGGTGCCCAAGGGGGGCTGAGCACTCATCACGGCCCCACAGACACCCAGCAATGGGACCACCGCCTCCTGGGTCACCCGGCATCGGGGTTGGATCCTGATGGACCCCTCCCTGGCGCAGCCCCCAGCGGAGGTGGGCGCATGGGGCGCTCCCACGGCCACACCGCATTTCTGGAACCTTCCCAGATGCCCAATGCGGGCAGACTCCTGGTGGGGGTCTGCGATGGCCCCACAGCCGGGCTCACGGAGCAGCTCTCCCGAGGGAAATAGGGCTGGGAAAGCAACACAGGGCGTGCTCCAGGGTGGTTCCACGCGGGGCACAGCGCAGTTGGGATGCGATGCTGGTGGGACTTCGGGGGATAACAGGACTTGACGGGTGGTGGGGGCGTTGTAACTTCAAGCAAAAAAACCCCAAACCACCAAAATCACAGCGGGGAGCATCCCACCCAGCACACACCCTACAGCACTGGCACCGCGGCTGCCCGGGGTGGGGGGGGGGGGAGGCGGCCGCTCCCCTGCGCCCTCCGCATCATGAGACGGGACCGCGGTGCCCCCCCCGGTACCCGGTACCCCCCCGGTACCCCGCGGGGACCCCCTCCCACCCTCCCCTCGCGGCATTTTCGGACTTGCGGAAACTTTTCCACCGGGAGCCGCTGCCAGGGGGCTCCCCACACCCCACCCACTCCACCCCCAGCCCTTAGGGACCCGCATGGAGCAGGGGGGGGGGCTCCCCACACCCCCCCACACACCCCCCAAAACCCCACCGGGGGCCGTCCACGCACCAGGTCCGACCCCCCCCCACCTCCAACCGCGTATTAGGGGGGGGTCCCAGCACTCACCCGGGGGGGGGCCCCGCTGCGGAGGGGCGCTGCTCGCCCACCTGCACGGCTGGGGCTGGGGCTGGGCTGGGGCCGGGCACGGCGGCGGCCTCCCCTGCTGCAGGAGGCAGGCAGGGGCGGGGGCGGCGGGGCCGTATATACCGGGCACCCCCGCCCCCGCGGGAGGGGAGGGGAAGGGAGGGAGGGGAAGGGAAGGGGGGGGGGGTGATGGAGAACGGGAGGTGGTGGGGGGGGGCGGCGCGGTGCGCGCACACGCGGCGGTCAGGTGATGGGGGGGGGGCACTGCGGAGCCGGGCGGCGGCCGCGGGGTGCGCGCACACGCGGCACACACACACCGGGCACGGGGACCCCCCCGGGGGTGCCGCCCTCCTTGCACACGTGGAGCGGTGTTCCTTTAGGGGGGGTATTGGGGAAATGGGGGGGGGATGCAGGTCGGGGAGAAAATGGGGGGAAAAAAAAAAAAAGGGGGTGAAAATAATGAATGGGAATGAAGCGGAGAAAGGAAATGGGAAAAGGGAAGGGACGGGAATAAAAATGAAACGTACAGAAATGAGAGTAAAATGTTAAAAATAAAATATAATAAAAAATAAAAATAAAATAAAAATAAAATATACTAAAATAAAATAAAAGAATAAAAATTAAAAATAAATTATAAAAATAAAATATAAATAAAATAAATGATAAGAATAAATAAATATAAATAAATCATCAATATCAATATAATAAACTCCATTCCATTCATTTATATTTTATTTTACATCAAACCCCTCCATCACCGCCGGCGGGTCGGGCAGGGGGACCCCCAGCCATTGCTGCTCCCCCCCCCCCAGCGCCTCACTGGCCGTCAGGCCGACTGCGCTTCGTGCCTTGAGAAGGAATGAGTTTAATTAAAAATATTGACCCCGGTGTTATCTCTCTCTTTTTTTTTTTTTTTTTTTTTTTCCGAAAAGCGTGAGCGCCGGGGCTGTGAAATCCCATTAAGGCGTATTGGCAGGCTGCTGTAGGGACGAGCCATCACAAAGTCTCATTTTCATAGAGCCCCGTGCTGGCCCGACCTCAGCTCCTGGCGGTCGATACTTGGTGGGGGCTCAGCAGCCACCCAACAAGGGGACAAAGTGTCCCTAAGGGGGCAGTGGGGGCTGTGGGTTGGCACCCCACTGGGATATGGGGTGCCCAAGGCCACCAAATCGCCTATTTTGGGCTCGGTGTTGCTGCTGCAGGCGCTGGGGTCGCAGCCCCCCTGGGACCGCAGCCCTTTGGTATGGCATTAAGCACTGCCACATCGCCTTCCCTCAGGAACACTCGGGTTGAAACAGGTTTAATTCCACTACACAGATGTTGTAAATGTTCCTGGAAATATTTCCCTATGGTTCATCCCAGGGCCAGCAGCCTGTTTTATGGAGGGGTACCCGAGGTGGACACGGGGCTGGGTTTCCCTCCCTGGGGATATCGGGCCCCCTTCCAGCAGCTCCTTTGCCATTTTTCCCCTGCAGAAACCTTAGAGCTGTGACCTTGTAGCTTACTGCCGTGCCATCCTAAGGCTGCGGTTCCCCTGCTAGAAATTTCTCACAGGAACTTGTCTCCCTGACATGATCCACTTACTGCTTTTCCCTTGTCAAGCGCGAGCTTGTTTTCCAATAAAAAATAAAAGCAAAGAGCTAATTCTGAAAGCCTTCGTCAGACAAAGCTCGCGCGGAAATCAAGGGGAGCCTTGTCTCCGTGTAAAGATTGCAGGTTCGGGATCAAAATCATCACAATAAAACATTGTCACAAGAGCAACGTCTCCCGCTCTGAAAATAAACATCTTTGCTCCAGTTAGGTATTTCTGCGGCAACAGGAGGCTATTGATTTAGGGAGGCACTCCGGTGATGCTCAGGCACTCCAAGCCCTCGGCGCTGAGAGGCAGCAGCAGCAGAGCCCCGGAGGAGCCGGCTGTGAGCAGAGCACGACGCCGGCCTCTGCTCTCCTGTTGCTGGCAGGACTTGGGGAAAGACCCCGTTTCATGGCCGCATGGACCCCCTTAGCTCCGCTCCTGGTCCCTTGGGTGGATGTGCCCAGTGTGGAGCTGGTGGAGGAGGCCACTGTGCTGGGACAGCGGGGACGATGGCCTGGCAAAGACACCGGGGAATAAGGGTTGCGACCCTGCCTGCACGGGACAGCCCTGATGCTCCTGCTTCCTTATCCTCTTACAAGAGGGGAACGGAGGTTTTTGAAATTGTACCAAAATAAGAAGAAATCCACCCATTCATCAGTAGCCCAGATCAATTCATCAGTAGCGTGGAGCGTGCAAGAGGGAGGGAGCACACGCGAGCAGCCTGAAGGAAGCAGGGGAAGATTTGTCATCGTATTTATATAAATTTCCAGGATTTCTGTAGTAATGCAATCATCCCATTATACTTATGGCATAAGAATACTTGCGGAGTTATTTCTGAACAAAAGCTTCCAAGTGGTTAAACCACGTAAAACAGAAAACCGAGAGTCTTTAAACAGTGCGAGAAAGTGTTTCCAAAGAATCTGACTCTAATCCCAATAAATACCAAGCTGCAAGTAACATAAGGAGTTGATTACTTTGAGTCTTGTAACTTATGGTACGTAAAGAAGTACTCGTTGCCTGATAGAGCATGGAATTAGGTTGGTGACTTTCAGTCGGAAAGGATCTGGGCCGAAAATATGAAAAATAAACTTATTTTTATGGGACGTGGTGAAGTCTTTACCACTGCATCTGCCATAAAGGACTCCTTACAAAACACGGGAAGAGTTAAGGGTTTTAATAACTAATGGTCATTGGGAAGCAGCCTGTGCAGCCCCTCACCGGAGGACATCTCTAACAAAAAAATGGCTAAACTTGAGTCCGTAAGCAAGTTGTTGTTGTTGTTTTTCCTCTTTTTTATTTTATTTTATTTTATTTTATTTTATTTTATTTTATTTTATTTTATTTTATTTTATTTTATTTTATTTTATTTTATTTTATTTTATTTTATTTTGGTTTGGTTTGGTTTGGTTTGGTTTGGTTTTCCCCAAAGGGAATGTGATTATGGTATTTCCTTACTTACACGATCAACTTTTGACGTAAAAGAAGCTGAAGCAACACATCACCCCGAGAAAATCTCAGCCTGCGATCTGCTGAGCACAAATAGCTGCCATAGCTGTGCTGAATGGGGCGGTTGATCAGCAGCCCCGCTACGGAGGCTTGGAAGTCCTGGTATGAAATCTATTCATCGTACATCCCACATCCCGAAAAATGGCAATATACGGGGCTGACGTCCCGAGATGTGTTGATAGGGCGTAACTCTGTTCAGTGCCCGTTTGTGTAGGGATCAGCTCCCTGCTCAAGTGTAAAATGCTCCAGTGTAGTTGGAGGGTACAAAAATAAGTCACACGTGCTGGATCCGTGCATCAGTTTTCAATCAGATTTACTTCCTGTCCCAAACTAAAGAGGTCAAGGCATAACTCAAACTATTTCCCCTGTCTATTTCCCTGCAGCTCAAGCCTTCGGAGGACTGCTGGGTGCTTGTGCCCCAGGGAGGACCATTTTTGGACCCTTGCAGCAGGCATGGGGCAGCAACCCTCCCGGGGAGAGGTGCCAGTCCATGCGTGACTGCATGGCTGCAGCGTGGACGTCCTCTGCCGTGCCCCTTGCCCGCCATC